AAGTAAATGCCTCTGCGCTCGCGGAAAACGTCGCCCGAGAGTAGCAGACCCGCGAGCCTTAACCCATGTGGGGGCTTCCCCCAAAATTAGGTGTACCTTAAAGAAGATTTATAGGGGATATGCAGGGTTCTATAGGGATCTTTCGGGTTCTGGGTTTTCCAAAGTCAGGGGTACCCTTTTGGGGGTCCCAATTATTGGGATTATAGTATATTGGGGTCTAGATTGGAGTCCCCTATTTGGAGGAACCAGTATATTCGCAGTTGGAATCACGTTGCAGACAGTTCCTTCTGGGTATAGCCGTATAGCCAGGGCACAGCAAAGAACGAGTTTCAATGGCATGAAGAACTCCTCGTTTGGTGTGCCCTGCTGCTTGTCTAGGAGGTACAACAGGGTTCTCATTTAGATCAGAAGCCAGCAGGCATTCCACGTATGTTATGCTCGCCAGTCTCCCGGCAGCGAGTCTTGTATTCCGGGGAGCCATCCCCATCAGCCTCCCTGACAGCTTTTGCAAAGCTAGGCTACTAGGTTTCCCCAGAACCTCCTATCCCCAGCCCGAACCCCAAACCTGAATCCATGAATCCTCAGCGACTCAAACTGTAAGGCAACTGCCTACAGAACAGCTGGGCCGTGGGCGAACCCTGCGATGGCCATGCAGAGATCGCACTGAAGCCTGTAGCTCCAGGGCTCAAGTAGCTAAGGGCTTAATTTTGTTTTATACGCTTAGGACCGCGGAACGCGAAACTGTTTGAAGCGGATTGGGTTTGGGGGCTCAAGCTGGGTTTTCGACTTTAAGCTTTAGAGCGTCAGGGTTCCAGATTCTAGGCTTCAAGTTTTACACTGCTAGGGGGAAAAAACTGTTGGGATCAGGGGTCCCTGGTCATTTGAAGCGTTCAGCGCGGAGACCTGTAGCTGACAGCCTTCTCCGGTACAACAAAGTCCGCTTAGGACGCTGCAAATGTGTGATGGTACATGAAGTAGGATAAGAAGTATCCGAATTCACAAGACCATAGGGCTTCCAGGCTTAAGGTGCCCAAAATCCTGCAGTCTAAACTATGTCAAGGAATTGAGGGCGGCGCAGGATTTCTGCCATCAGCTTGCAAGCTGACTCAGAAACACTGTTTTCCACTGTAATTACGTCAAACCCAGGTTCCGCAGAGCTTGTACAAGAAAAGCGATAATGATAATTCCGCAGGAGTAGCTTTCTTAGTTTGGCTGTGGCAGCAGCAGCAGCAGCAGCAGCAGCAGGAGCAGGAGGAGAAGGAGCAGCAGCAGCAGCAGCAGCAGCAGCAGCAGCAGGAGCAGGAGCAGGAGCAGCCACAGCAGCAGCAGGAGGAGAAGGAGGCACCCCGTACCAACCGTCTTCTCAAGGATTCCCCAGCTTGCACCGGTTGAAACCCTGTAAAGGCTGTAGAAAGGTTATAAAGGTTAGAGCAACGTTTATTTGAAGTGCGTACATGCAATCAATACTATGGGTGGTCACAGTTTTTGGGCATTTTTGCATGGTTGGGGCATGTTCCACCGCCGCCCTTTCTATGATCATCCACCTCCGACATAGAAGGGAACATTTCTGGGGTTTCAGCCTGTAGTAGGAGGAGTAGTAGTAGTAGTAGTACTAGTACTAGTAGTACTAGTACTCGTCGTCGTCGTCGTCGTCGCCGCCGCCGCCGCAGCAGCAGCAGCAGCAGTAGTAGTAGTAGTAGTATTAGTAGCAGTAGTAGTAGTAGTGGTGGTGGTGGTGGTGGTGGTAGGAGGCAGTTGAATCGCAACTACAGATCTCCGAATTGGTTGAAACTGATGATTAAAGTTACAGCTCGGGTTAGTTCGAATTAATGAGCTGGCTCAAAGTGATTTGTGAATGAGACCTACCTTGCTGATCAGAACTAATGCGCGAATTGGAACTAACACGTTCAGTCTGATGAGTTATATACTTAGGACTATAGGCTAACGAATGATTTCGAATTTGCTAGTGCTCATTGCTGAGACTTAAGTTAGTAGGGCCCGCTTATTTTCAACGAATTCATTAGTTCGGATGAAGTAGTTACTGACATGAAATTTATTCTTTAAATGGGGTTCGCAGTTTACTAGGAAAAAGATTGCTTTCAGCATGGATTCTAGAAGGGGTGCTATCTTATTTTTGCAGAAAATATCCCCTCCGACAAATGAATCGCTTTTCAGGCCGCGTGCGCTTCCATATTGTTGGCCGCATCTCCGTATAGTAGTATAGCAGTTTTCCAGTCTAGCATACTAGCCGTATAGTCGTAGCAGTAACCCGCCGGGGCCGCGGGCGGGGGTCGGGGGCGCTGGGCGATTGCAGTGGCACTTTCTACCCTAAGACTATGCAGCTAACCCTATAAACCCTAAACCCTTAACATCCCTTAACCCTGACCTGCGCTGAGGCTTCTGGGCTCCCTGTTTGCCAGCACTTCATCGACGGAGGCTTGGTGGGTCAAGCCCTGAAAGCATCCCAGCAGCAGGTCTACCCAAAGGTTACAGCCACACTACTTGGGGGTTTCCCAAAATTAGGGGTACCCTTTTGGGGGTCCCTATAATAAGGAGTATAGTATTTGGGGGTCTATTTTGGGGTCCCCCTATTTAAGGAAACTGCCACTTAGGGTGTAGGAAGAAAATGAAGGATACCACGCTGGAATGCGAGATAAGTTGAAGGAAATACAATACGAACTGCCAAAAGGAAGGGATGACAAGCATGAGGCTGAAAAGCATGTTTCGGCATGTCCCTCAGCTGAGTTCAGTGCTCCAGAGAACAAGATGCCTTTCAACATGCCAAGAATCTGCAGATGGTCTGAGCTTCTTTCTCGGTGCTCGAGGCTTTCTCTTTGTTACCGTGTGATGCATATGAGGTCAGTGAGACTCCAGCTGTTCTGCCTCACGTTTCTTCTCAGATTGCAAGCAGAATCCTGGGGCGATCATAAGCTGAAGTCATTTGACCCAAGATGGGATCGCATATCGGGAGTTTGTCCGAAGGAGGACTTGAGCCCCTACATAGGCCATCGGCTCGACTATTGAGATCTGGACTCCTTCCTCAGACATCAGAGAGGTCCTCCCCTTCCCTCAACACAAACACTGCCTGGTATTCCTGTACTACTGGGAGCGCTTTTTTGTCAGGAGGGCGGGGGTATCATTATTTGGGATACAAGACTCACAAGATTCTTGGAATTCCCTGTTTTTGGAAGATCGCTTGAACATCTTCATTCTCCCTGCAGGGATAAAGCCCGCAGTCCCTACATCCTTTAAACGCCAAGCCCAAAAACCTTGTCCAAACTCCTTATCCCTAACTCTGAATCCGAAGCCCCAGCATCTAGACCCTGTAGACTCAACCGTCCCTTCAACTCCTGTACACAAAGCCGGACCACTACGGTGGATGGCCCAAATCTTCCACCACCCAGCCTCCTGCCATATTTGAAGTTGTAGTTCGTTGTAGTACTTCAGATCGCCTAAGGGATGCAAGTGATGTGGGTGGTTTTTTGAAGTTACCCTTATAGAATCCTTGCGGAAGGTCTGAGAATCGCACATAATCTCAAATATCCCTGCAGTCTCCGGGGTACCCTACTTTGAGAGATCCCCTCTTCCTTTCACAGGAGGTCCGGGGGACCAGCAGCGGATGTCTTGGAACATTGGAGCTCGGCTAAGCGCTATTTGCATCCAGACCACCACAGCTCCGAAACTCGATCTGTTTGGGGAATTTGCAGGCTGAAGTTGTCTTTAGAGAACACATAAGAGATGAACCTAATTGAAGGGGCTCTTGAACTCGTTATAGATGCTTTAGGAGCGCACTCACTGTTCTGAGGGGTCGGGGGGGTTTTCTGCAGGGCGTCAAGCAAATAGAAGTGTTGAGCAAGAAAGACTGGAAGCCTGGTACTGATTGTGCAAGCCATGTAGCAAGCCTTATGAGGAAGAACATAGGTGATTCAAGCTGACTTCCCAGGAAAGAGTATTCCCTTGTCAACTCCCGAGACAGCCGCCTGGCCTTGTTTTGCCCCAGGATGAATAGGGGCTTGAGAGGGGCTTCGGATTCTTGTATGGGGCATCACATGAGTCTCGTGTCCTGGTGTAGGGCAGGCCAAAATCTATTTGCTCGGCCTGCAGACGTCTCACAGATGCTGACGTAGCCACTGAACCCCAAACCCTCTACTAAGATAAGACCTAGACCGGAGGTGCACCCAGTGCAGCTGAGCTTGCAACGCGGTATTGTGGCTGGGCCAGAACACACGTTCGAAATGATGTGGACTGCAGTCCCTGGATGAGGGCCCCTTTGCCAGATGGCGGCTGCAATGCATCTGAGTGCGTAGGCTTGGCAGACTGTGCAGAAGTTTGTACCGCCTGCAGCCTGTGTCGGGGAGTCTACTTCTTCTTGGGTGGCTCAACTGCTGGGGCCAGATGTTATTTTCAGGGCGACACACTGAATAGCATCAACCAGGCCACGGAAGAGTTCCCATCCGTGGCCACGCCAGACTCGCCTTGGGCGGTGTACGTGAACAGCCGGGATGCACGATGTGGCCAGGAACGCGTTATTCGTGGTGTGAGCTTCTTCCAGGACAGCCTTTGCACAGACCTTGTGGTCCCCACGTCCGTCGTAGCTTCTGCCTACAATGACGGAACGGAGTGCCCTGGCTACTTGTAGGTTCTTGGTCCGAGCAAGGCAAGCAGACATACATCTACTATGTTGTTTCATTTAGCTTTTCGAAGCAGTAGCAAAACCAGCCCAACCCAACAAATATCCCCTAAAACGGAGCTAGCCAATCAAAAGCCACCAAGGCCTCAGAGGACAAAGCATACCAGTTGTCACCTAATGAAAGCCACGACATCCCTGCACTTCCTCTCAGAACAGCCCAAAACACAGAAGGAAAAGAGCCACTGCGTTCCTTGCATCCAGTATGAAGTCCCTCAAATGGGAAAAGACTAATCAGGTACACTTTGAAAGCTGGCTGGTGGCAGAGACCTTCAAGTTTCTCCCCTCGAAGCTGCACGAGCTGTCCTCAGAGGAGCATTGAGCTGAAGGCTGTCTTCGATGAAGCCGTACCTGTTCTCTGCGCTGTTGCTGGGTTGCTGTTAAGGAACTTACCATAATGGGTATATATAGTAAATAATCGGGTTTCCCCAATATAGTAACTTAAATTAAGTTCCTTAACAGCAACCCAGGTTGTGGATAGCTCTCTGGACTTTGCAACAGGTTGGACCTTGAACTGGGGCAGTTCTGGACCGGTCGCAGCATCGCTTTCTGGGAATTTTGTGGCTTTTGGCAATGACATCGACAGCATAACCTTGCCTGCCATGGTCAGGGGAGCCAGGGCCACCTTACGGGGCACCATGGTCCTCCAGTGTGGAGGCGGCAGTATAACCTGTCCAGTAGACTCCATGGCAAGCCTTCCTCATCTGCTAAGGAGGGTCATGGCCTCAATCCTAGGACTCCGCCAGCATATGATTGACTTTCATGAGTCCCTTAGCGGACCAGAGGAGCAAACAGCCTCAGGCAAGTCGTTCACTTTTCTGGTAGTGGTGCAGCTGGTGGTTGCGACACCTGCGGATGTGGGCTTATATCTGAAAGCCAGGGCTCTCCTAAAGGACATGCAGCGCCAAGTGCCCGTCCTCACCACTGCCCTTCAAGAGATTCTTTACTAAACTGGCTACAGTATAGAGGGTGAGACCTTAACTGGGCTACAGTACCCGTTTGTAAGATTATTCAAAAACAGAACATGAACCAGCGAGAACTGTTTCCAGTGCAGGCTCCACGGACTTCCTTTTGCAGTGCAGCAGCTGAGTTCCTTTGCACAGCATATTTCCTCACCGCCCGCCCCCTCAGCCTTGCCTGCGCTGCCGCGGCCTTTGTCATCTGCTACTCCGGCATCAAGTCTGATAGGAGCGAACCAGGACTCCAAGGGTGGAAAGCGGGCTTCGTAGGGCTTGGGGATCATGTGCATCCACCTTGGTTCGCAGGTTGGGATATGTCAGTGGCAACAGGGTCAGTGTGTAAGGCATTCTAGCAGCCACCAGCTTCGCCATGCGCACAGGATTCCACGGGCCTTCGAGCTCCTTAGCTGACTTTAAAACGTAGCTAAGATGTGTGCGCAATGCTGAAGACATGGAATTTGGACAAGTAGCACCTCAGTGCCACTTCAAGCAGCTCAGACAGCTGGATGCATATCATTGAGGCTGACAAGGGTGAGGGTGAGTACTTCATGGCCTTTATCGCGCTCCTGCTCCCCGTGCTTGGGTTCTGCACGGTGCTTGCTGTTCTGGCGTCCATTCGGTTGTGGCACGGCGCCTACCAGGACGGACCCAGGTTTTGGGAGCTTGAGGGTTGACTGCGCACAGGAGCTCAACGCTTATGAGCGGGCGAGAAGTTGCAGTTACCTGAGACCCCCAAACGAACTGAGGAATTCCTGCGCAACCTTCAGAATATGCAGAGGCTCCTATTTGATTTCCAGTGTTGCAAATAGCCCTAGGCCGTATAGGCAGCACGCTGCGGTGAGAAGATGTGTCTACGGAGCAATCTGAGGATCTACATGGTCCCTTCTTGCGTACACTAAACATATAGGGGCCGACATGAGGAGCAGTACCAGAAGATGGACCCCAAAGGGGACTAAAATTTTGACAGCCCCCGATCTCAAAATCCAGAAAGTGTCAGCCCTGAACCCCACATCATCCCACATCCATACCTTAAACGCCAAAAACCCATGAATGAACCTGCAATCGTTGAATCCCCACATAACAGGAACATACTTCTAGAGAATCCCTACATGCCCCTATATACTCCTGTCGAATCCCGACATACCCCCAAAAAAGCAAGCAGCTTCTGGCCCCTGCAGGGCAAGTCCAGGGGGAAGTCCGATCCGGGAAGGACCGTACTGGGTAAGGCACTTCAGAGGCGCTGAGTTCTTGGGGCACAAGGTCGTAGGCTTTTGAGAGATAAGGGTTTAGGGATTCTTGGGTGTATAACCACCCTTAAGTAGGTAGAATATGGATTTGGGTATATTATAATAAGATCCCCATATACCCCAGATTCTATCTACTTAAGGGGGACTAGGGTTTCTAGGGCCTAGGGTTTGAGGTTCGGGTGTAGGTAGGATAGAGGTTTACAGGTTAGGGTTTGACGACAACAGCATCAGTGGCAGGGACTGTCTAGCGGTTTTTGGAATAAAAAAGCAGCGTTGCCCAAGCAAAAGACGTCTTAGTGCTTGGACGCGAAGAAGGAAACCAAAAATTGATCCCCGCGAGAGATTCTAAGATGGGGCTTCCATGAACATGCAGTCCCAATGCAGGCCCCAATGAAATAATCCTGAATCGAGGGGCTCCCATTTTTTTTGAAACCCCATATTATGATCAGAACACACCTTAGTGTAGGGTTTCCCATGTCTTTGCAGCGGGAGCCAGTTTGAAAGGATGCAAACTAATTGCCGCATGAATCATCAACGAATCCTCAGCAAGGAGGGATGTCCAGGGAGCTTTGCAAACAGACATTGAATGAGCGGCGGTTCTTGTGTCTTGTTTGTGTTCTAGGGGAGGGGTAGTCAAGATCGAGTATCTTGCTAGCTGCCTCTGATGAATACTACCCTTTGCGACGTCGCTGTTGCATCTGCTCCTACACTGTTCTGTTTCCCAATTCCACCGCCTAATGTAAACGGTACATGCCAGAACGGTGTCCTTTCTATTCTTTGTGCATTTCAAGGTCGATGAGGCTTGGGGGTTCAAAACTTGTGCCACCCTGTATAGGCTTTCATGTTGTGCGCGCCGGACTCAATTTCCCGCGCTTTGCAATCTCAACGAATGCGCTCAGCAGGGAGCCAATCAAGTGCATCTGCGGCATTGCATGCCTCAGGATGGATATCTTAACAGAACCTTCACTTGAGGCACAACTTAGGCTTCACCATATTCTACAGATGCATTGTAGATACTTGCCCAAGACTTTCTGCCGTGCTTCGACTGGTGAAGGTTTGTCATTCTTGCGGCGTGTCTCTTCGATGCTTGCAGCTTCCACTGCAACGTACTGTAGTACACTACTGGGGAAGTTACATTCCAGGCAAACAGATATGGCTGCTTGCATGCAGCAACCATGCCTTCAGGACTGTTTAGTTCACTGTCTGTCTTGAGAAGTCGTCCGGGGAGCGGCAGGTCCGAGGAAGATGCAGCGCCAGTCTTGCCACAATCTGTCGCTGCGAACATTCCGCAGCGCCTCACATGAAATAGCAGCTCTTGGAGTACTGTTACAGCATAATACAGCATGCGGGGCACGCGGAATCCAGTGTGGATTTCTTAGTCGGTGAGAACTTCCGATTTTTCGCATATTGGAAAATCCAGCAATCCCCTTTTGAGCTCCAAAGGTACTGGGGAGCCGCGCGGCGCGAAGCCGGGGAACAGAGTGCTTCCTTCGATGGGCTGGTGTATGTCAGGCTCCAGTCCAGCTGTGTGTTTGTTCGGGGCTTGAGGGTGGCGGGTTTAAGATTGATCAAACTGCAGGGGTCCTTGTGTGTGAAGGGCCTTGAAGGGCCCTCATTTGGAGAACATTTCGTAGGACATCTTGGATGTGGTTGTCGGATTTCATTTTGGAGGTTCAACACGAGGACAGGAACCATTCGCATTTCAGCCTTCCAGTCCCCCGCCAAACATCTAGCTGAGCACGATTCCACGGCTCTTAACCTGCATGCAGATTGCAGGCCTCGGAAGATGCAACCATGTAGAAATCGGTTTGTTTTGTATATGGAAGAGTTTAAAAATGATCCATACGCGATCCTGAAGTGGAACCTCATCATCCGTTTTTATCTGCAGGGTTGCAGAGAGCCCCCTGATTTGAGAACCCCCCCTCACCCCACTTGTGAGCGGAAACGCATGGGCTCCTGAGTCGTCTTGATTGCCGGAGGCATGAGCAGCTGCAAGATTTCCAGAGCTTTGTGGACTTCACCTACAGAGACTAGGGTGGCAGGTGGCATTCATTTCAGAGTTTTGGACTCGAAGAAGTAAGGCTGAAGAGCGTAAAGCAGGGTGTTAAAGGCCCAGAGGGTTCCCTTTCAAACCCGTAAGTCCTCTTTGAGGCTTCTCTTTGACTTTCCCAGGGCTAGCAAGAATTGCGCTTGGCCGGCCATTTCTAGGGCATGGGTATAGGGGGCTTAGGGTTTTGGGTTTAGGCCGTGTTTGCCTTCTCCCTCAGCTGAAGCCCCCTTTCACCCATGTGAGATAGATGCCATAAAAAGTGCACAGGAATGTCCTGAAGTTTCTAGTTACCATTGCCATTCTGGATGGAGCAAATCCCGCACATCACCTTTTACCTCATACCCTGGATACAGCCCCCACCCAGTAACAGTTGGATGATAAATAATTTTACATTATGCATATATACAGCCCTTGAAATTTGCCCTTGCATAGAGTGCTGGTGGGTGGGGGCAGTACCCAACCTATATATACACTATGAAGTACAAATGGGATCTCCAGGTGGAGCAAGATTTTTAGTAGTTTGGGGCCGCTCTTGGGAGTCCGTGTAGTAAAGATTGGGTCTATATTGAGGCACTTTTTTCAGTAAGAATTTGAATGGCTGACGTTTAAAGACACAGATGTCCTACAGGCTCATGTAGACTATAGTCTAAACTCCTTAAAGGGGGATATATAGGGGATTATATAGGGGACTATTATAGGGGACTATTATAGGGGGTATTAAGGGGGATACTAGGAGTTTAGACTATAGCTCATGTAGGGTGCACTAGTGGCACGGCCATTTCTATGCTGATGACCTACTCACTCATTGCGTTGTCAGAGATCGTCTGGAACATGTAGAGATTGCTGCTTCGACCAGGTGCCTCTCATGATGCTCAAGATCACACCCTCTTTTCATGGACGTTGCGTAATGAGGTCCAAAAGGCCACATGGTTATCGCACAACGGGGTGTGTATGCAGCAATGGCATCAATTTGGAAGTTGCCACCAATTAGGGGTCCGGTGGGAGGTTAAATGATTTGGGTGTAGAAAACATCCAGTTTTTTTGGCAACCTCATATGTTCAGACGTGTAGCTTGCAAGCAACAGCAAGCCAGGAATCTAGGGCATTCATTTCCTGAACCCTTTTCAGCATTAGGCTTTGTGTGGTTCAAGGGTGACCGCGATAAGGGCCCTGTACACTTGATCCAGATGAGGAAGCATCTCTACGCAAGACCGGCTGTGCCCTTCGGGTGAGCATGACAAGACTCGGGGCGGCTGCCCGTGCGTTCGACCAGGTGGACCTTACAATAGGGTTTGAGGGGTGAACTTGTGACACAGCCTGTTGCAGGCGTTGGATCTTTAGGCATGATAGTAGTTTCCATGTTCTTTTCCATTATCCCCTATACATGCCTTCATATATCCCCTATATATCCCCTACATAAACCCAATATATCCCCTATATGATTGTTCCAAGGCTCTGGTTAAGGGCTTTCAGAAACGTCTGCTGTCATTCCTAGTGAGTTCTGCTGATCTGTGCCTTTGACAGCATGTCTGTGGAGTTGCAGGGCTTCGGCTGTCTTCTTGATGAGGGCGTTTGGTTGATGACCTTGGGACTCGGGACTTCGGGGTTTTCGCTATATGCTACTATTATTATTAATAGGATTATTATTATCACTATAGGCATATATGATAATGTTATTAGTAGTATTAGTAGCATTTGTACTAACATTTTTAATTCTATTACTGTTATTGAGTGATGCAGGATTCAGGCATTAGGGATGCGCTGTTCGATATCAAGATTTGAGATCAGCAAGAGTGCTCCAAACAACTCCAACTTCCTCGTTCCGACGTTTGTTCGCTCAAGCCAGGTACTCCAGCAGGTTCAGCTTTTGTGCATAAATTCGGATCGACAGAATACTGCGAACAACATTGTATACGAATACTACTACTACTACTACTACTATAA